CCAATGGGTGTCGTTCCTGGACCGATCTTAGCTAGTCTGTCTAACTCCCCGTTTCCAGGTATACTTGAGTGTCCTGAGACCCACAAGAGGCTGACTTTCCTAGTTTTTGCCATATAGAATTGATTTCCTATGTTTCTGATTGGGACATTTTCGAGCTCACTATCTTCTGTTCTCACTATGAGTGAACTGGATTATTATTAAATATTTTCATGTATAGAGAGATATAGATAAAGTTTCAAAAAAAATTAGAGAAATGAGACACCGAAACCTGTGTACAGGCCGTTTTATCAATATCGATTAAAACTCCTGGGTCATAGTTTTTGGGTCAGGATAGGGAAAAAAAATCATATAAACATATAATATAGTTGATGAGGTATTATCAGGGGCGTGCCCCATGTTTTTTTTTTAAATAACAACCAGTATTTTTTTTTCAAATTCTTGCAATTTTTTTGATCGGAGCAACTCAAGTCACGTACCAACCAATGTCAATTCAGAAATTGATGAAATATTTCTTCAAGAAATTGGAGCACCTTGTATCTCGGAAACGAATCGTTTTCGGGCATATTATGTTTATATGAAATTTTGACCCAAAAAATACGACCTCGAAGTTTTGTGCAATATTAATGAAAAACCCTGTATAAGGTAATGTATTGTCGTCGTTTGTTCTGGATAACGATTTGTCAATATTCAAAGCCGCAGTTTTACTACCTACGTGCTTTCTTGAAGGTCAAATGAATGACCATGAAACCGGCTCCGATCCTCGTGTTTGAGCACCTTCAATATTGAATGAATACGCGAACTCACCTGACCAACCTCAACATGCGAAACGGGGTGGATATTCGTCAGGGGTAGTAAAAAATGTACTCCGAACCAGGCGAGGGTAATACGCGAAGGTGCCACATTTTATAGGCCGAGCGGTAGATATCCGGATATCGATTGAATTTACGTTGACTCTACAAGGTGAATCTGAAAGTGAGTTTCTTAAAAGGATATACAGTATGATGCAAATGTATGGAATAAATTCATTTCAAAACAAGACGACTTTCGAAAAAAAAAAAAAACTAGAGTTTAGAACTTTTTTTTCGAAGTATTTTTTTAACTAGACGACCCTTCGATGTTCAATTCTCAGTAGCAGACCTCTGCAAGATTCAATTAATCACATGATAATCCATTTTAATTCCAATCTTCTTATGCAACACTTCGACTGTTGAATAGACGATCGGTAGACCTTTCAATCATGGTGTCACATGACCCCTATTTGTATTTGAAAAAAATCGTCCATTACGTCTTTACTCCAACACCGGTGACGTAATATCTCTCATATGAATATCATGAGATAAGGCTTCAAAAATTAAAAATCACGTGTTTTTGGAATTTTTTAAAATGTCGCCAATTTCTGAAATAATGAATTTATTCCATACATTTGCATCATACTGTATATCTCACCAATAGTTATTTTTGTATCTAGAGCGCAAGATACCACTTTGGTGATCGAGATCTGATTTTTTTAACGAGGCGTAGCCGTTATTAGTCCAGCATCAGATACCCTATACAGTTGCATCATTTCATCAGAAACACTAATCGAACACCTCTTTTCACATTTTCAACCTATTTGTTGAGAATCTTCTTGAGAATCCCAAACTTGCCTTTGATAGTCAGAGAAGAGACGCTCAGTATATATGAACGTTATCGAATGAAGGACCAAGAGTTAGTTAAGCTCTAACTCCAAGAGCAGACTGAAGCATCTTATCGTATTCAATTTACCAATGAGACGAAACACAACTTCAGATCACTCGGTTCAATAGAATATCACAATAATTGCGGGACCACAATACAGGGTACAAAAGTTGCAGGGTCTAAAGTCTAAAGTAACTTGGAATTATATACAATAATATAGGGAAATGCCACTACTTTTGCGTAAATTAGCAGGGACACGGTTTGAACATAAATGTGACAATCTCAACTGACATTTTTTTATTGATAGTTGTTTCTATGCGTTAGGCCAAACAACTTATTTTGGTGAGATATATACCCTGTTAACTGAAAAAACCTCACTTTTAGATGCACCCTGTATATACAGTTTGTCGTATATGACGTCGTTTATCTATCTATCTTGGTACCAACTCATCGAATCTGAAGCGAGTAGAGTTGTTATAAGTGACCTTTCAACTGCCATTTGCTGTTGCCAAATTAATTATTCACGGAATCCGATAGATTTAACGTGTGAATAGAACCGTGATGTGAATATAAGTGTTTGTGGTCGACTAAAAAATGTAATATGTACCTAGGCGAAGACCTGTATTTTTCTTACTGAGTCAATAGAATGATTAGTATGTATTTTGCTAGGCAACACTTCTAGTGCTTCTAGTATCTAAAAGCTAAAATTGAATTTCAATCCCTCGGAAATCAAAGATGGTCGGATCGCTTTCAATGTGTAAGTCTTCAGTGGCAAAAATAATATTTCACTAGATGATTTTAAGCATTTCTTCAGGTTTATTCCATAATGACAATTCCTTCATATCAAAACAATCAAAGTCTGAGAAAACATCAGGTGAAACATGATATGTTTAACGGATAAAATCATTCTTATCAATCATGTTGGGCTAAATCTTCATATTTTGGTCTTTACTATCCAAGGTTTAGAGATTGCTCATTCTCAATGAATTACCCTGTGTATATGTACACATGAAACATATTCGGCTGTAATTTCAGAAACAACTTCGATTGAAGCAACACTTGATCAGCAATATCATATCAATATTATTAGAAAGATAATACCGTGTACAGTGGTGTCAATTCACACCTTCATAGATCTATGTTCATAGTGAAACATCACACGGATGTGGTGATTTAAAGGGTTTCTGAAATATTCATTCAAAAGAAACCCAAAAAGGATGAAAAGTATAATTACTTTCGATAGTAGTATGCAAAAAATACACTTATTATATGAAATTAACACCTAGTTACACAGTGACCAATCACGAATAAATCAGAACCGTGTATGAATGATGAGATTTGGGGCTAATATAATTCACTCATCGTCTTGCATTCTCCCATGTGAATAAATAATGTTGCTGATGTTGAAATTACCCCCTGAAAAACCTAAACTCATTGAAGAATGGATAAAATTGTGTAGGTATATCATCATCCACGAATTCTGGTATCCAGATTGATAGGTGACAAAATAAGAACAGATGATTTCGTGAAAATAAATTATATTATATATGATGATTTTGAGATTGCGAAACTATATAGAGTACTAATATCAAACCAGATTGAATGTCAAAGTATAAATTATGTGCATAGAAAGACATTGAGTCAATATCTTGACAGATGGCGACACTAGCGCTCCTTCGACACTCGTCTCTCGATAGCCTTCAAATAGTATCAGCTCAGAGATACATAAGACAACACGCGGAGACTACATTCGGAAGAACGGAAACCCACGAGAACCCGCTACTGCACGACCTGACCAACAGACAATTAAATCAAGACCCGCGCTTCGGAAGAATAAAGTACAAACGCCCAATTCACCAAATATAAGATAAAAGAACGGAATTAAATCAATATCAATAAAAGTTGCATAATAATCATCAGATAAATAAACAAAAGAGTCTCTCCTTTGATACCCTATAAAAAGTTAACCAATAATAATAAGACATAAACACAATTTTTGCTTCCCATTAGGGTAGGGAACCACCACGCAAAGTCAGGCTAGGAAACACACATTAGACAAAAAGGTTTAAAAGTCGGAAGACTGAAACCAAGTAAGGGGTTATATAAAACATATGCAGATTGCCAAATGCATAAGGTTGAAGTCCACTCGTTAGTGAGTGGGGGTGGATGGACATGGGGATGAGGAGCTATCATATAACGTAAGCTAGTTATATGGCGGCACTTGATCCTGGGCATTCAACCTTTCGGGGGGCGTGGTGTGTGTGTGTATGTTTTGTAATGTTCCATCTTCCACTACAGAATAGTGCATTTCATACACTGAATACTAATGTTAGTATATCAGTGTCGTGTTATTCAAGACTCAGATGCAGACAAGAAAGCACCGCTTCTCAGCGTGTTAACACTTAATAAGTGTGTGTTCACAACAGAAAAATATCCGAAAAATATTCGCATATCTTTATATTATCAGTAAAAGCAAGCAGTAATAGCAGTACACCACTTTGGTGTTGAATAACACGAACCGATCAAATTAGCACTAGGCACTCTAGTGTAGTTCTTGACTGTATGTAAGAACGAATGACACCCAATGACGATGTTAAAAATATCAGTGTTGATTCTCACTAAAATAATCAGGACCTCAGGGGACACCCAAGGGTGTTAGCTGGTGTGAAGATGGTGTTTTTGTCACTGTGTATTTTTTATGAAATGCAATTTTCTGTCTCCTGGCCTATTATGCATCGAATATAGCGCAGAAGGTTATTACCATATTCGGAGCGGCGTATGGGCCATGGAATTAGGTTTTTCATGAAAATTTATAGAAGAGATCAATCTTCCGGGAGCTTTTTGATCTCTCAGAGCTCAATATAATATTCAAAACGGGGAAAATCATAATGGAGGCGTATGGATTAGGAATATCAAAATTAATGGGATGTTTCATATCCCAAGTACATAAGAAGTTTGGTAGTAGGGGTATTTGAAGGAATTGAATTAGATCCAGGAAATATTAAGAATTCGATTTCTGATTCCTGAGTATGACATTTCATGTATCTTCAACATTATTCAGGAAGAAAGTTTATTATGGAATAGCTAGTTTTTCGAGCATTTTCCGATCTTATTATTATTCAACTATTCGTTATCACATACCAAGCGTCCTTTACATTAGTATCAGTATCATCTTTCGTGAATTGAATTTTTTGCATCAATAGTTACGTTCATCCCTCGCAATCCATAAACAAGATTTGAGTCTTTACAAGTCTCCCATCACCTGAGGTTACATCTCAGGTGTTGGTCTCAAGGACCCTATTTCCATGCTTATCGTGTATTAGGCAACGTCGCAGGCGTCACAGAACGCGACGCTTTCGCAGAACAAACACTCGGCACGCATTAAACGAGGGTACAAACGGCCGCATGAGTCAGCCCTGCGAGAGGGGCTGCTTCACCCCATGCACAACATCTCTTTATTGGGCGAGGGTGGCATCAGGATTTGCAACTGCATCGGCAGTGTCAGTTAGTTGTTGTGGAGGTGAAGTCCTGTGGTCGTTAGATTAGGCAACACGCATTCATGTGTTCGGTGCGAACTGTCGTTTGGTCGTTTTTCGCTTGCCACTTTGTTGCTCAAACACCTGTTCCGTTTATTTTGAAGAGGCTACAAGACTGAAGATTTGACACCCAACGGTGTACCACTCTCTTTGTTAACATTTGACTCAAAACTGAAGACTGAATCTTTCCTGCAATACTTTTTTTCTCTTGATTACCTATTGTTGATCCAGTCTCAAACCCTGAGAGACTGATACTAATGGTTCTTAGAGTTAGTACCATTGACTCTTAAAATCGCATGCTGGAATTTGGAGTTAGTAAAAAGAAACCAAGAGTGAATAGTGACTATTGGGTATTCAAACTGCTACTGCAACAGTGCAATATTTATTTTTAGAGTTAGAAGATAGAAAACAATGGGTGTACTGTGAATCTTAGTGCTATTGACTCTCAATACCACTACTACAAGAGTATAAAATATAGTGAAACAGAGAGCTAGACGATAGAGAACAACCTCTTGAAACTGCTACTAGATACAATAGACTGAAAGTCGGTGTAGTGAATAAAAAAATTCGTGAAATTAGTAAACAGTGACTCTTCACAAATACAATTGAATATGAAAGCATTGATAAGTGAACATTCCGAACTGGTTTGTTGATGCACTACTATAGTTGGACTCTGGTAATACAGAAACAAAAGTAGTGGACAGTTATTCATTGAACATCATAAACTTTCATTGTTAGTGTAAGTGCGTATAGACTCCAAAATACTGTAGTACATACGTAGAAATCACAAGTATTAGTTGTTTCATTACTCAAATTACTGTTTGAACTTAAACTGAGTAAGAATACCACTATAGACGGAAAGTGAATCAGTCAGTTCGAACTGATAGACTGATTTGATAGGCCTCATCAGCTGTGGAAGTGTGAAGTGACAAGTGGTGGTCAGTAAATCCTGCATTCCGATGTATTAGCAAGCTTTAGTGTTGCTTCACTATATTATTCTAATTGGAATTAGTGCTGATAGCTCAATTAGTCAACGACCGCTTGAGGATGGTTATCAAGAAACTGAGCCTCTAACAAGTCCTATTCCGTTTCTGAAGATTCAGAAGTGGGATTGAAAAATCAGAAGTGGGATTGAAAAATCAGAAGTGGGATTTCCATCAATCAGAAGTGGGATAATACATAATCAGCTACTGTTCAACCATTTCTGCCGACATCGCCCTATTTCGAGTGTATTTATCTTGCATGCGGGATTTTCCGTGAGCATCTCTAACCGGTTTTTTCCGTTTCGCTGCAGCCCCAAAGCGATCCAAGCGTACGGGAAAGGATCGAAGGGTGCGTTTCGTCATCCCGCGTTCGCAGTCCGAATCGATATTTTGTGCGTACGGTAGGGGCGATAGGGGTATAAAAGTCGCGATGCTGATACCGACTTCTCCCACCATGCATTCGGTCAAGCAGCAGCAGTGCATCGGGAACAGGGATGTGATCAAGCTTTTTGTCGGTCAGATTCCCAGGCATCTGGAGGAGGAGGATCTGAGGCCGATGTTCGAGGATTTCGGCAAGATTTACGAGTTTACTGTCCTCAAGGACAAGTACACCGGGATGCACAAAGGTAGGGTTTTTTTTACAGGTCTCGGTTTTTAGTTGAATATGAATGTTTGTCCGATATATTTAGCCCATATTCAACGATACTCGTTCTTCGTGTATTTAGTATTGGTATGTACACATACATACCTACTTGTTATAAATGAATAAGTGTTCGTCCAGCTGGATATTTTGTGGTACTCGAATGATGTTCTGCATGAGTCTTTATAGATTGAGCCTGGTAATATGCGAATTGTTCTTTAATGGATTCCAAATATCTCTGACGCATACATAAATATATCATCAAGATGTATTATAAAATGTTATACCATATCACTAAGTTAGGATCTTATCCAATGTTCATTCTCAAAAAGGCAGTTGAGCCAAATTATTACAGCTCCGAGGAAGTTTTTATTATTTTTTAAAGTATACCATTCGTTCAATATTTAGTATGTGTTTTGCATCCTTTGAGTAATTTTTTCATCATTAGGAGAGCCGTATGGGCTTGTAAACATTTGTCCATTTCGTATAGCCGTTCGTTGCAGCTAGCTACTGCACTTTTTATTTAACATACAAATAACATTTGGCGGAAGCGCAAAAGCGACTACAATGCCGAACAAAACCAGCTCTGTAATCATGATTTAACCCTCACACTCCGCATATAATGCCTAATGATAAAAGCAACGTTCAGTTTGAAATATATATAGGCACAGGGTGTCCAAAGCGAACACGACCCTCCCTTGGGTGTATTCAAATGGAGCCCTCTACGAAAAAAATAGATCAAGAGTTGAAATGGGACGATTGTTATTCAATATTTATTCGATTTTTTTCTTTGAATCGATGAAAATTTATAGTTTTGTAAGGATCTTATCCTTTGTGAAGTAATTCATTATGTTGTATAATATTTTGAACATAGGCGTCGCCACTGCGGGGTAATCCTGGCTCATGAATAAAAGAAACATTATTCCGGGCATGACATAAGTTATCTGGAAATTTCAGTATTGCAGTATTTTTCTATGTACTTATAAGAGCCGTATTTGTTTTCATGATATAGATTGTCTTTTCCTAAATCAGTAGGCATCTTTTTACAAACATAATATATCAGAAGTTATTCCATAGGATACAGACTACAAAGAATCCTGAATTTTTAGCGTATCTATTGATTGAAAGCTACTTGAAACTTAAAATAATCATAATTGGTGGAGGATTTCAAAAGGTATATAAAGTATAATTCACACCAAATTTTCATCAAAATGTACATGTACAAAAAGTAACAAACAGGTAATATAAATGAAACAAACTAATGAAGATTTATAAATCATCACAGTAGGAACCATTGGAATCAAAATAAGCTTTAGTGAGAAGCAAATATGTCAGAGCTCTACAAAATCACTTATTACATCACACATACATTGAAACGCAGAAGTGAATTCGTTCTATAAGTGAAGAACTGTAATAATCTGTCTATCATATTCTCTGCCTGGCTAAGCTTCGACGCACTCGATTTTTTCTCAAAAATATGTGATCGTATCCAGAATCTGCTCAAGAATAAAAAATATTGAAAATATCAAGGTGTTTCATCTGGAGTTGCAGTTAAGCTCGTTGGTCTGACTCATGTTTTTATATCTTGGAACGCACGAAAAGGAATCCCTATAATATTCGTAGAACATCGTGCGTACCTATAGGGAGGATAGGGAGAGGAATAAAGCTTTGCCGTTCTCTAGACGAACGAGTTTTAGTTAAGATTTGTTCGACATATCTCGAGGTTGACACCTGGAGTGATATAAAATAAAGATGAAGAAAACTGTTCGAATAACCATGCTCGAAACTCTATATGAAATATTCATCTTGTCAAATGAATACAAAATGTCATCTGGAATATTATCTCGTTGTCCGATATCGATTTCGAATCTTATAAAAGGTATTACTACTTCACATGTATGGAATTCGTGGCCGAATTCGTGAATGGTTTCCATCATACCTCGAGGAACGTTCTCAAAAAATCAAAATCATGTGGAGAATAGTAAGAAAACGATCGTCATTTCTAGTGAACTTCCAGTTGGAATTGGAGTCCCTCAGGGATCAGTATTGGGGCCCATTCTGTTCACACTGTACATCAATGAGTTGCCTCTGATCCTCCCAAATGCATTCACCTGCTTGTATGCAGATGATTCTACGTTATTGTTCGCAGGCAAAAAAAAACTGAGAATCAAATTCAAAACAAAATCGATAATGGTATTCAGTCACTTTGTAGATGGTCATATGATAACTCCCTGTTTAACTTTTCATAGCAGACATATTGAAAATGTTCCTGTTGTAGAAATAAATATAGATGATCGAACTATAGAGATGGTTCAATGCACTACTTTCTTTGGGGTCAGACTTGATCGAGGACTTGATTATCATCTATTATTCAAATTCCATTGTAAATCCTTAGCAAATACATTGAGTACTAAATGCTTTCAATTGAGAGCTCTCAAATCAATTTTAGACATGCGAGTGCTCCTACTCTTTCACCACGGAGAAATTCAATCTCCAATCACATATAGAATCACCATTTAGGGTAACTCATCTGCCGCTCATGAAGTCTTCATAGAGCAGAATAGAATTGTACGATGTCTTCACAGTGTTCCCAATGGTACCTCATGTAGAGAATTATTCAAAGAATACAAGTTACTTTCCCTATATGGGTTATATACCTTTGAAGTTTCAACTAATATACATAGAAAACGAGAAAGTTTGATGAAACATAATTCAGTACACAGTTATCAAACTCTCTTCTTCCCGAAAAACTAAAATCTATCAATGAACTGCATACTTCTAAAAATAAAATGAAAATGCTACTCCTAGACCTCTGCCCCTATAGTTTTAACGAATTCTTCGAATACCTATTGGTTCTTTTACTTAGACCATATTATGTTTTTTCTGCGACAGGAAAAAAGTTTGGCATCTCTGTTGGCGGGTTATGAAATGTCACTTTTCATAAATTACTTTTTTCCCTTGGGTTAGTTCCGAAAAATGAGTTAATAATACCGTCTCCGAGAAAGAACTGCAAGTCCTTTTATCTTCCATTCGACTTCGCGGTTACGTATATTACTAAAATATTACTAAACAACCACTAAATTCGCGATTTTTTGAAATCAAATCACAGAATTACACTAACAGAAGTGACATCAGATATTTGATTACTTCAAAAGAATGATAAAGATGCCTACAACGCAGGTATCCCTACTGTTTAAAACTTAAAATTTCACGTCGGTAATTTTCAGATTCCAAAATAATGTAATATTTTCTCTCGTATTTTCTCAATATTGATTCGTCCTTTCTTCTGTAACAGGAAAAAATAGTGTATTATACACGGGAAAAATATTAGATTTTAGCTCACGGCTCCACAACCTGGAGCAAAAATCTATTACTTTTTTCCCTTGTATAATAAATAACTATTTATTGTATTTCATATACCCAAATATTTGTACTGACACTTGACATGACCGATAGCATAACTGCTCTGTGGATAGAATAGACTTGAACTTGAACTTGAACATCAACATTGACCGCCCTGTATGGAACGAAAAGCGCACCCGAAATGAGGATGTTTTAATTACTCGAAACATAAAGCATTTAAGATAATGGCTTTTGATGTCGAGACCGTCGGGCTATATGAAAATCATGCAAATGACTTCGCTAGCAAACTTTGCTCGATTCGGATATGTTTGCAAAAAGATCCACTCGTACGGGATGTAGGGATGGGTGTGTATAGCCTGGGGTGCGATCTGGAGCATCTCTCCCCCATACGTAACTGATCCTCCCCTACGTTAGGTGCATGATAATCGGGAGGCATCTGAGAATGCTCGATGACTTTATCCGAAGTGAAGTTTCGGCATACAGGGTGTTACACGACGGGCTGAATCGATATGTATAAAATGTGAATCTTCAGAGATAATCGGTTTAAGCGATGCAGTTAGGCTCATACAGGTAGAAACATTTTTAGTCCTGATTGCCCTAAACTTCTCAAGAAATTCAAAGACACGAATCAGGCTCATAAGGGTATAATTCGTTGTCAGAAGAATCCTTCCTTTTAGATTTTCAAAATCAGCGGTTCAAGCAATGCAGTAGGCTCATATAGGTCGAAAAATATTTTTTTCCTGATTGCCCTAAAAATCCCAAGAAATTCATAGACACTAATTCAGACCCATGAAGAGAGAATTTCATGTCAGATTTGATAGATAACTCTCCCTTCAAATTTTCAAAATCAGCGGTTCAAGCAATGCAGTAGTCTCATATAGGTCAAATATATTTTTTTCCTGAGAGCCCTGCACATTGCAAAAAATCCATAGACACTAATTCAAACCCATAAAAAATGAATTTGATGTCAGATTCAATAGAGAACTCTCCCTTCAAATTTTCAAAAGCAGCGGTTCAAGCAATGCAGTAGAAAAATATTTTCTCCTGATAGCCCTAAACATTCCAAAAAAGACATAGACACTAATACAGGCCCATTGAGATGGAATTTGATGTCAGATTCGATAGAGAACTCTCTCTTCAGATTCCCAGATAGGTCACGAATGACATGTAGCTTGTAGCTTGCAGCTTATTTACAGTCACCTCAAGTTTTCACGAAAAGATTAATAGGTCGGCAATTTGTAGAATATAAACATATCAGCGAATTCAAGTCATTCGAAATCTGTCTTGACATAGCTTTGATGTGTTTATGTAAATTAGAATAATAATATGCAGAAATGAACAGGTGCGACAAGTACAGCACATTACTCACGCTACGGTTGGGCTTACACGATTTCACGAGTGACTTATCCTTATCCCCGACAATTTATAAATTGTTTAGTTGTTCCCTTTGTTTTCCGAATACGTTCTGGAACGAGTTGTTGACGTATATTAGGTTTTTGTTCACGATAACTACAACCCAAGATATTCAATGGGTTTGTACACACTAGTCGAATTCACGCCATATATAAATTTTCATTTGATCATTCCATGTAATAAAAGTATTCGATACAGTCATTTATTATTCAAAATCATCACAAATATTGTTTTTTCAATAATCCAAATAATCACCTTTCGAAAACGTCAGCTTTCGATGACGTGACAAACTATTAAGCACTATAAGTATGTAATTGCTCAAAAACCAATATTTTCCCATTCCACAAAGAAATAAGCATTTTCCCCCACAGTAGGATATGACTTCAACCGCTTCAAATGATTAAATCAATCCAAGAGCTGATCAAAGGATGATGATACTGCTGATCTTGCTGATCTCGACAGCAGTTCAGGACAATTCATAGCAGTTACCTTCAGTACCAGTACTTTTTTGAATAGAGAGAGAATTGATACTCGAGTGAAAGTTCTCAAGATCTTTTCTTCATCTATTGGATCGCACAAAGACGGTATTCATTCCTTTCATGAGTTCCCAAGTTCCCTATTAGAAAACCCAAATGAAAATTCCCATACATCGACTATTTTTTTCGATTGCATTCACCATTTTGTTCAGATTTTGGAAGTGAATACCATGATCTATCCATATCAACTGGACATGGAGCAATGTTATTATCTCCGTTGAAAAGAATGTGAACGGGTTTTTTTGTATTTCTCCTTTGGTTGTTTTCTTAATCTTCAGATAATTTTGATTTTTCGCTACCTATGTCTATTCTCTATTGATAAACGCAAACGTAGGAACAGGGGTCCTTATAATCAAAATCCCCACTACTTGAAATGAAGTTTTTTGGATAGGAGTTGAGTTGAAGGACAATTTTAATGAGGTGGATTTCGAAATGAAGTTGGCTCGATCATGGAGTTTTTCGATGATTCTATTGAAAGTTACCTCTCTTGGTTTTTGGATGATCAATTCTCAATATTATTGCGAGTGTACACATTTCAATTGCTATTGTAGTCGCCCTGATGATGGAAATATTCATTTCTGAAAGCTCGGACAAACTGTAATGAGTTCACCTCTACTTTGCTGCAATCCCCACTAGAAAGCTAGTTTTATCTCTAACGTGTCAGCAACGACTTTCCGTCCTTCTATATATATATAAAGAAATACATTCAGAATGATTTTCGGGAGTTTCAAGCTTATCAAGATCAGAATTTATTCAAGTATACTTTTTTTATACATTCCAATTTTCATTTCGATACTGAATATCCTATTGGCGAGTTATATCTTTTTATCATTATACATCATATTATCAATCCAATAGTCAGGAAAGTAGTGGTTTTCTGTTGAATATTCAGGATGATATTATGTGCATACATATTTCCATATGAAGGAGAATGCAAATTATCAACTTCAGAAGATTTTATTTTCAAAATTCTTATTGTATGTTTGCAGTAGATATAATTCGAAAGTCGTTGTTTCCTGTTGAATATACGAAAAAAAATATTATTTCCATCACATAGAGAATGTTCATAATATATCTGAGGTTATTTCTCTTCAATACCTCTCTTTCCTCATGTATGAGGGTTAATAAAACTCTACCAGTCTTTCTGCAACTCCAAAACGTTTGTGGTGCTTCTTCAGCGAACTTTCCAATGCAATTAAATTGATCGTTCTGGCAACACTGGACGGTGTGCCGTGTGCTCGCGGAAGATGATGGTAATTGATAAACGCGACTGCTCGAACATAAAGATGTGGAGAGGTAACAATGGCAGCGGCGGCGGTAATAACAATGTAAAATTCGCGAGACCGACGTGATTTACGGAGTTGGAAGTTGGAGAAGGGCCACGTTGCCGAGTCTCACAACTCCTGTGACAGTAGTAGGGATGAGACGAATTAGAGCTTGGTAGTGGGATGACCATCGATATCGCCTGACTTGACACCAAGTGATTTCTATAAGGAGACATTTTCGGAAATCCATTCTCACTACTCACTGAGCTATCTACTGTACATTTTGTGAATCCCACAAACATTGTTACGGTTTTGTTGATATTAGAGTTGATGCTCGTTGCTGTTATTCGCCAAAGATGGGCTTGTTTGTTTCATTTCTGAAACGTTTACAGAGAAATGTTTTCTCGATTCTGATGTTCTATTGCAACTTGATATTTTTCAATTCCTACGAAATCTCTGTAATATCGAGCCATATTTGACACCGACAAAACTTTCTTCAATTTCAGTTTGATGCTATTTTGATTGGTGACTTCGAAATTTCTTTAGTAGGTACTTACCGAAAAATAAAAAAATCGAATGATTTTCTTCCTGTAGATATTTCCGGTCGTTCAACGACAATTTCGATGATTTGGCAACTCCTGCCCCATCTCTCGAGTGCACTCGCGAGAAGCAACTTCTTTGTCAAAAATCGGGTATTGTATCAAGATTTCAAATATTCGAAATTGTGAATATATACCTACAAACGATGTTCTTCGAACGCAGGGGAAAAAATAAAAATAAAAACATTGTTAAGAAATTTTCGCTCGTCCACCTACAATTCCGATGATTTGGCAACGCCAGCCTCATACCCTCAGGTGTACTCGTGAGAAGCAGCTCCTTTGCCACAAATCAGGTATTGTATCAAGATGTCCAATTTTCGAAATCGTGAATATATACCTACGAACGATGTTCTTCGAACGAAAGTGAAAAAATTAAAAATAGAAACATCGTAGAGAAATTTCCGGTCGTTCACCGCCCTTTCCGATGATCTGGCAACGCCCTCCTCATCCCTCAGGTGCACTCGCGAGGGCGGACGGCGGCGGCACCCCCACCCCCACCACTCGGCGCAAGCTCCACGGGGGCGGCGCACGCGTCGAAGCGAGGGGCACCCTCGTGGCGATTCGATAGCCGACGCCGTTCCCGCATATCCGACGTCGAACCCCCAGTGTCCTGGCATGTACTGCCGTACGGTGATCTCTTCACACTGATCGCGAAAAACTGTACGAGCGAAACGGCATTCATAAGAAAATTGTCGGTGTGTGATTCCCCCGCCGCGTGGACCGAAGTGATCTGTTGCTCGCACCACGAACCGTCGACATAACCTCGAAAACAGCTGGTAGACTCGCTGCGCCCAGTGCTTAGTTTTTTACACCGTTCTCCTGTGTTGATTGAGGCTGTCTGGAGCTGATCTACGTGCCAAATTGTCACTAGTCCACCAATTTGCCTGTTGGTCGTTAGACCGATAATTTTTTCGCGACAAACTCACCCTTTCACAACAGGTAAGATCTGGATGAAGTTTGAATTGAAGAGCTAATTCAATGATTGTGGTAGTGATGGTTCCAGGATGCTACATCCTGAAGATGCCTCTTTGCTGAATTAATTATCTTTCCAGTTTCTTTAGAAGTAATTATTTTCTCCATGAAATCTCTGCCTGACATGAGACATAGTTGAGCCATATAGAGAACCTTGACTGATGCTGTCTGGACGTGATCTGAATCCAAATCTGAACTGGAGAACCAATTCATTTCTTCACCTGTATTCGATGACTGTGGTAGTGATGGTCTTTTGATGCTTCATTTTGGGTTACCTCCTGCAGATGCCTCTATGCTGAATTATCTTTACTTTCTCTCTTCTCCAGAAGCATTCATTTCCTCAATGCATTCTCAAATTTCTAGAGCTATGTGAACTGTTGCTTCCACCCTGAACAGAACCTTGATTGATGCTGTCTGGAGCTGATCTACGTGCGAAACTGTCACTTGTTCACCAATCTTGTCAGTCGATAGACCGATAATTAATTTCACGACAAACTCGCCCATTTACAACAGGTACGATCTGGATGAGTTCCAAGTTTGAATTGGAGAACTAATTCTAAAGTGGGGAAGGATTCTGTAACTGTGGGACTAATGGTCCTATGATGTTTCATAGTGGAAAACCTTCTGATTATGCCTCTATGTTGAATTATCTTTCCAGTTTCTCTAGAAGCATTTATTTCCTCGATGAGATCTCAAATCTTTAGACGTAGGTGAACTGTTGCTTCCACCATGAAGAGAACCTCCATTGGTGCTGTCTGGAGCTGATCTGCGTGCCAAAATCTCACTAGTCTACCATCTGCCTGTCGCAAATTGTTTTCACGTCAAAGTAACCATTTCACATCAGGTAAGTTCTGTCTGAGATCCATGTTCAGATTGGAAAAATGATTCATATTTCTTCCCCTGTATTTGGCACAGAGGCAAATTATGACTGGTAGCAGTTATGGTCCTTTGATGCTTTCTTGTGGAGTACCTGATTGGTGCGATTGATCCATTGATATAATGGTATAATGACCGTTTCTCATCTATTCCAGTTCATTAAATTGACAAAGACGTATAAATCCTCAGGATTTCTCATTGTTTCATATCCTTCCAGTTTGTCTATGAGCATTCATTCACTCAGTGAAATTCCGAAACAATGACAGCACAGTTCAAAGCTGAGTTAGCAGTTTCTTCCACCATTAACATAAATTCCAAAGAAAAATAGACTCGTTACCTATCTGCCTTTGGTGCATGTTTTTTAATGTTTCTATCATATGCTCTTGATGTGTTGTGATTGGTCTTTCCCTAAACTTTCATTGGAGGATTGATATGTCAACACCGTATTTTGAAAAGCAGGGAACATGCTGTTACATCATGGAATTTTCAATATCTACTACTCATCTACTTCTCCTCCTCCCCTCCTCTAGAAGCAGTTTTTTATACAATATTCAATTTCTGGTATTGCCTCTCACATTTCAATCAGGCTTGTATTTAGTGTAACCATAGTTAGCTGTTGCTCCCACTATAAACAAGACTATGAGAGAAAAAACTTAGAGGCTGGCGATATTTACGAAATTCTTATCATTATTTAGTACTCCTGTACACAACTCACCAACTCATTTATCAATGCAGAGATCACCAACTAACCGTTAGTATATTTTCTGTCGAACTCATCCTACCACCCTTCCATTGTGATATCAGACATCATCATGGTCGAATTTGGTGATTGAATGGAAGATAATTGATGCAATATTTCCTCGGAATGGGTCATGTACTGACCATTGGCGGACTTCACGTCAACCGATTTGGTATTACTGCTATGGAGAAGTATAGTAGCGAATCTTCCGCAAGTGTATCTCCTCGTCCACTCTGTATAAATGCTCCGAGACATCAGAAAACTGAATATCTGCCGTTTTCGTCTGCATCACATGTTCATCCCCAGTTCGCATCAAGAAAGTGTCCTTGTAGGCTCGAAGTAGAGTCAGGCGATCGATGCTGTCTGGAGTCATGATGCTACGTGCCAAATGTCTGCTAGCTTCGGCCTATTCCTTCGCTATCATCATCTCCTTCGCATATTCCTAATCGTCTCGAGTAGAAAATGTAAACTGCTCACAAAAAATCAGCAGCATGAAACACCTATATGAATTTTATCGTGAATATTAAGGAAAACTTTTCGGCAATGAAGGAGGCATATGGAGGTAATTGAATGATTTGCGATAGCAGGACACTATTTTTGTTCTTTCATTCCAGATTGAACCTCAACGGCTTTGTGGAGAGAGTGAGTGGTACTTAGAAAAGATATTTTGCTGTGGTGAAGATCTCAGATGATTGAGTTCATTTTAGGACTGTTTCCAAATTTTCATAGGTATTGAAAACATCTCAGTAGCCAGGTTGTATTTCGTTGACAGTGTTCAGATCTAGGGGACATATTTCACCAATCATCATCATCATCATTTGATACTGGGGGAGACAATTGGCATGGAGAGTTCAAAATTGATGTTTTTCCATACTCAACTCTTTCAGTGGAGGGAATAAATTCTGGAACTGGTTGAGATACTTTTACGTTTAACCGTACTTCTCTATGTAACTGTATCTATGACCACTGTGAATTTTCTCATAAAATGAAGGGTAATGTTTGATGATTAAACAATCTCGGAGACGTTATATCATGGTCAGTAAATAAAGATATGTTGAAGGTATGAAACTAGATTTAAACATTCGTTTCAGTATAAAGTGCGTATTTTGAAAAGACAATGAACAAAATGCTGATACAATAAACATTTATAACCTGATTATGATTGCCATCTTGAATACGTAGTATGTCAGGAGGAGCCTCAGTCTAGAAGCCTCATTTAGTAATGTCAATATTCATAATAGCTCAATTACAATAATTTCTTGAGACAGATCAATATTCAATTAAAAATTAATGTCTTCAATTGTTGAAATCACATGCAGATGCAATTGCCAAATGGATAATAGTGAAAAGAGGCTATTGTTCATATATTTCGGAAGAAAGAACTCTACACAAACAACTGTCTGGGTGATGGTGTCAGTGATCAAATATTGATGCTGAAAAGTATGATTGACTTCCCTACAGTAGATTCAATCGACCACTCAACTGGACTCTTTATCAATTCATACCTGAAGAGCGCTGCATTATTTACGAACCGAAACGCCGGGAGCTCTGCTTAGAACGAAAAACTTTTTTCGCACAACGTGACTGACATATCGACAGTTCGATTTCGTACGAGTAGCAATTCTGATATTGTTGTAGAAACTTTGACTCTAATCTTACCGTCTTGTTCATGCAGGTGATATCGAAGGAATTCAGGGTGAAAAAATTCTCTATAATGACAAAGCATGGACTTGGGAAATGCTCGTCAAGATATTAGTTGAAAGCGTGAAGAAGACGACAAATGAATCCTGAGATTACTATCCTCGAGGTCCTTATGACCCTGAAGTGATATCTGAAAAGCTTTGAGATATCGAAAAGTGAATCAGAAATCAAGACAGGTGCCAAGATATTTTGAAAAAATCACATCACTTTCAGAAAACAACTTTCGTTCGCATTTCTTCGAGGAGAAAACATGAAGAAAGCTAGTTAGTATAAAAAAAAAAGCTCAGGATTCTCCACACGACTGTCTTACAGATACAATATGTTCAACAGTTACCAGAGTCGCGAAAAAACAAGAAAATATCACCAGGAAAAGTATCCAACATCCATATTGTGAACACAGTAGAGTTTTTTCTTTTCAAGGCATTAGAATATTGCTGCAGCGTTTTGCATACTTGAGTTATTGTATCAATCAATCATACGTGTCTCAGTATTGTAAAACCGACTTTGTAGTTTTCGAATTCTCCTGGCATCAGAGTCTGGATGCATTTCCTTTTGAATGACAACGTGTTCGACACAGATCGCATAGGTAGCTCACGTCTCGTAGCTGTAAATTGTGAATAAAAGACTGTCTATCGATTTTCCAGAGCCTTCTATTTGCCATACGGATCCGCCAATTGCAGTGAGGTGTGTCATCTCTGCCGAGCCGTCTGGCGATAACTCATTTTACATCGCTAGATACGGAATATTATGCATTTTCCGTTCTGTTCTTCTCTGCCAATATTCCGAATTGATGCCTCCGAACGACACGACGATTTATTCCCGAAAACACTGTTATTTACATTCACCTGTTCGATGGTTGGGATAAATTGTTAGCATGCCTCATGGAGGTAGTTCAGACAGTATTCTTGATCGAGAATGTCGATCCTTCCTTATAGAGGGAACACGTTTTATAAAATGTGTATCTGGAGGAGAATACTAGTTGATGTGAAATAGTTAAGTCACTACTCATTATTACCATTGATAGTTGTCACCTTGATTCATTGACTTAGAAGAGGTCCAACTGATATCCGAAGAATAGTATAGGAATGAACAGATGATCGACAATACCGTTGTTTGTCAGTGCGGGCAATAATAATAATCAGTTGCCGGGGTAGCAACCGGGTGGGACCGATTCCCACCCGCCTCTCACAAGACTCCCATAGGGGATGACTGCCGGTCACCTATCTTTCGACTTATCAGCGCGCTAGAGCCATCTCCGTTATATAACGGCATGTTCTCCC